CTTCCTACTGCTGCTGCTGCTGCTTGCTACTGCTGACACTGCGGTTATCGGTGCTTTTGTTGCCGTTTGTTTGTTTGTTGATTCTGTTGATGATGATGATGGTGCCGTTGTTGCTGTTGTTGTTACTGCTGGAGTGTTGTTGCTTGCTTGTCTATGTCAATTTGCACTATCTTTCAAAGAAAAAAGGAAATATGAATGTTTAAATTGACGCGACAAGGGTAATGTAGAAAAAAAAAGAGGGAAAGTGTTGGCTAAAGGAACGGTGAAAGTCTCTATTGTTGCTTTTTTCCCGGTGTCGGTGTCGATTTCGATGTCTATACTGACTACGTCTGTGTCGGCGGTGTTGATACCATTGTTAGGAAAACGTGATCCCGCCTGGTTTTCCCTGTTACCGGCAATGTTATTTGTCATTGTTGCCGTTACTCCCCTGTCGATGCTGCTGTTGTTGCCACTGCTAGTGATACAGCAGTTGTCCATAATGGGTGACGATGGTGGCGACAATCATGATGACTTTGACGGCAGTTGTTTGTGAATATCGTCATCAACGTTTGATTATTTTAGCCATACTGTGGTCATTTTTCTAGGATACTTTTTTTTTGTTTCTTTACTTTTAACGCATAAAAATGCATGAAACATTCGCAGTTATCACCAGTTGAATTACTTGAAAAAAGGGAAAAACATATGAATTAAAAATTGATATTTTAAAATATGCAATAGATGAAGGAAAAAGATGAAGACGAGAGGGAATGGAGGAAAGGGGAAACGAGAGAGGAGTTTTGGTCTGTTTGTTTTAATTTTGCTGATCCAATTTTCCTCTACTTTTTTTTGCTTTGTTCTGTCCTCTCTCCCATTTTGTTTCTCATAGGAAATAAAGCTGAGAAAACAATGTCGAAATGTTGTCAGACGCACTAATTTTCTCCTTTCCTTCTGTCAATTTCGGCCAGTGCTGCTTTAACTGAATTTATTTGTATGATCGAGAAAGAAGTTTTTTCTCGTGGATGGAAAAAGTTCAGTTATTTAATACAGAAAAAAATGTATATGCGTAAATTTTCTTTTTTTAAAAGTTTATTCAGTCAGAAGGAAAAAAGAATACGGAACGGTTGCAAAGGAGCTCCATCACACGAACGGTAGAAGGGTAAAGCAGGGGAGGAGAAATGAGTTAGGTGGTGGGGTGACGGAGGAAGGGACGTAAAGGAGAACAGGGAGGTAGTTGGATGAGAATGATGGATATTTTTTGGCATCTATTTCTGAAGTGAGGCTTCGAAGTATCTTTTAGTGTTGTCTGTCATCAACGGAATTTGCTCTGTTAACAATAACTGAATCAAGGAAACTGCAACATAAAGCAGCATAAATTTAGTTCTTATCGACAGATGTCGTAGAAGCGAAGACGACTGGACAGCAGATGGAAAACTGGGAGGAGGATGAATCGCGAAGAACGGGAGGAAACGGAAAATTAAATCGAATTAGTCATTTTTTCTTCTTGATATGACTTTTGAATATCATTTAGCTGTACAGCTATTTTTACTTTTTTACATCACTTGGATGAATACAGATATGCACACACATACATTGGTAGTACTCGTTGTTTCTTAAACTAATATCGAGAAGAAAAAACAATGCTTTATGAACATCATTTATTTGGTCAGTCAGAATTTTTGGTTAAGCAGTAATAACCGTGTTCAAATTTGTAGTATGGAAACAAAAAAGGATAGAACAAACACAGCTACGGTTAGAAAAAACAGTCTATCTTTTCATTTATTGGCCTAATGAAAGGACAATTTAAATCGAGGACAGAAAATAAAAAAAGATGTAGACTAAAACTACATTAATGACTACCTTTAGATTAATATTTTATCATTGTTTTCATTCGTTTCTGTTTACTTTTTTGTCATCTGTTAGTATAATGGAATATTGAAGAATATATGGATGGTATATGAGTGGAAATGCGAATGGTTTCTGCTGAGTGTATTTACCCAGTTTTGGTTTGATAGCCAATGATTAATCATTTTTGAAATGCTGGAAACCCAAAAATTTTATTATTTTGTGTAAAAATGTGGTCAAGAGGGAAAACAAAAGCAACAAAAGCAATAAAAAAAGTGAACAAGTTTTTTTGCTCATACATAAAAAACCAGTAAAAGGAAGTGAAGGAAGAAGAAGAAAATAATGAGAAATTGAACATCGTTTTTTGAAGGATCGGTAAAAAAGAGGAAGTAGATGAGGGGAATGGAAGGAAAGGGGAGCAGAAGAGGTGACTTCAAAATGGGAATGAAAAGCTGGAGGAAGTTTATGGTAACCAAATCCTGAAAAAGGTGTATCCTGGGCAAGGAATATGGGAAAATTAAGATAGATTGAAAAGGAAAGTGATAGGTAAGAAAAAAAGCAGTGTAAAACTTAGTGGAAAACAAGTCATTTGGTAGCGATCAGAGGAAATATTTAAAAAATTCAAAATCGTATCCATTCCTTTCACTGCCTCCGTTAACAGTTTTACCGTTGTCTATCAGTGCGTAACTAAACACATGCGTCTATTTTCCTTTAGTATTACTGTAAAGTTGAGTCAATTATTTAATCGAATTCAAAACTTGAAGCAGAAACAAGTGGAATAGAAAAAAGGGCCAAATTTTTATTCTTTTATGTAGCAAAAAAAAAAGGTCGAAGGCTAAAAACAGCCTAGTAAGATAAACAAAAGTTTTGCGGAAGTAAGGTGTGGAGAAGATGGAAAACTGAAAAGGAGGTCTGCCAACGATGGTAGCAATAGCAAAACTGATCAAAGAAAAAAGAAACTGAGCCTGTTTTGATTAAGGATAACATTTCCAATGGCAAATAATGTTTCGAAAGAAAAATCTCTTGTAATTTATCTCAATATTTCAAAAAATAAATGCAGAAAAAAAACCAAATTCTTGTCAAATGAAACATGGTGAATGATAATTAAATTTTTTTTACTTCCTCTTTTTTTTTTTTCTGTCGTTTACGTTAACTTTTTTTTTTGTTTGTTGCCTTCTTGTTTTACTTCATTTTTCAGTTGTCACAGCTGAACCGAAAAAAAAAAAATTTGTATTATTAAGTTAAAGCAGAGCAAAAAAAAAAGTGTACAGAAAAAAGGAAAACGGGACAAATAACAACCGAACAACGACGATGTATAGAAATCTCCTTCCTCCTCGTCCTTTTCCTCGTCGTCCTACTCCTCCTTTTTTCTTCCTTCGTCTTTTCAACAACAACAACAACAACAACAACGACTTGTCTATTTTTTGGATACAGCAATAAACTCATTGCTTTTCTCGAACACTTTTAGTTCACGCTTTTCGTTTCCATTTGCCTTGCCTCTTTTTCTTCGTCACTGATTTGACATCAGTTTGTTTATTTCTTTATTTCTTCCTTTTTTTTTTTTTTTTTTTTTTTTTTTTTTT